ACTAGAGGACCCTTCCAACTCTGTGATTCTATGAATCCCAACTGACACCATCTGACAATAAGGCAGTTACAAGAACAGCTTGAACCTCTTTTGCGTTGGCTGGGGGATATCTGCATAACGGGTTGGATCCTAAGCGGCACTTGTCAGAAGTTTTTAACCTCCCCCTGCTCATGGTAGCCTGTAAAAGTAAAGGTAAAGGTTCCCTTGCTCGAAAGCCAGTCGAATCCGCCTCTAGGGTTGCGGTGCTCATCTCTGTTTCAAAGCCGAAGAGCCAGCGCTGTCCGAAGACGTTTCCGTGGTCATGTGGCTGGCATGACTAAACGCCGAGGTGCACGGAACGCTGTTACCTTCCCACCGAAGTGGTACCTATTTATCAACTTGCAATTTCTTGCTTTCGAACTGCTAGGTTGGCAGGAGCTGGAACTAGAGACGGGAGCTCACTCCGTCATGCGGCACACTCGGGTCTTGAACGGCTGAACTACCGACCTTCCACAGCCTGCAGTTCAGCGTCTTAACCGCTTGAGCCACCGCAGCTCCTTACCACTCCCCAAAATGTACCGGGGTGGGGAGGGGAGAGCAGACTCTTGCCAACAGCTTGAGATGCCCGCAGTGAGAAGAGGAAAAGGTCCGAACAACTCTCATACAATTGAAATTGCCTCTTGCACCTGCTGGAGACCTTGGATCCAGCCCAAAGATATATTTTTTAAAAACACAAGTTACTTTTAAACAGACCGGAACAAAACCTACTTTCATTTATCTCGACGTTTCATCTTTCTGCAAAGCCAAATACTCGGGAGTAAAAAATGGCCAGGTGACAACAGAGCCAAGCATCGATCGCTCCTAACTTGCCTTATTAATCATTTATCAACATTTTTAAGAAGAGAAGCTCTGGAGATATCGATTCGCCACGAAGTCCCACTGTCACACCTCCTCCCCCCCGCGCCCGGCACAGAGCTACTCGCACGGAGAAAGTATTTTACATTCTGCTTTACTGACCGAGATGAAGACGTCTGAATATCAGCACTTAGTTATAGGAATGCTGGCGCTGGTGAGAAAGAGTCTTTGGGGAGAGCAAACACCGGAGGGTGACAAGATCTATCTGCTGTCCCAGGAGCAAGATGAATCATGGCACAGACTGTGCTAACGGTAAAATGCTTCATGGTTGCCGATGGGGTAACCGACTACTTTCTGAGGACAACCCTATTTTCCACACGCACAAAGTTTCTAAATCATCTCACACTAGGTGTGGACAAAACCAATGACCTAGGATCAGGCTGTCTAAAAGGAAAATGGAAGGGGAGAGAGGCAGCTTGTCAAAAACACAAGAAATATGCGTTATGTGCTAAGTACCGTCGAGTCCCTCCCAACTTATGGCAGCCCTACAAATTAATGTCCTCCAAAACATCCTGTCGTTAACAGCCTCGCTCAGGTCTTGCAAACGGAGGGTTGTCATATTGGGTCAATAAAGAAAGCCACAGCCCTCAAGAAATGTGATTAGCCAGAAACACCCTGTATTCAATCCTTGGCCCTGGATCCCAACCGTAATATTTTTTTTAAATAATACTTTCCATTTATTAATCGCTTTCCCCAGTGGGCTCAAAGCGATGTACAGTTACTCAATATAGACAAGGGACTAACAAGGTTCATAGGGGTTAGGGAAGACAACATACATTCATTTAATTGCACACGCCGTCACTGCCCGGTGTAGACGTCTTCTGGCTTGGCTCCGTCGTTTTCCG